TACACTTAGCTTTTTTGCTTTTCTTCTCATCTGTGATCCTTAAGAGTTTTTCATGCACCAGGAGCGGTACTGCCCTTCCACAAGACCCTTGTTGAAGAGTAGCTGAAAGAACAAGTTGTGATTATACTTTGGGCATGTTTCCTTCACTGTCTTGTATTGTTTGAAGGTTTTATTAATCTCTTTAGGACATTCCATACAAAATCCCTGAACCGTATAAAGCCACGGGAGTCTTAATAAAATAAGATTTATTAAGAAAGGAGACAGAACACTGGAGAAATGGACTGTGTAACAAGTCTAAGCTGAAATGTTGCTAAAGTTTGTCTTGATTGGTCTCCTTCATGTCATTAAAAGAAAGTAAACTATCTTACACCCCTATAAATTTCATCCTCTGATTGAACTTGCCGTCTCCCCTCTGGCTGTGTCTGGCAACTACCAAATCCAGGAGAGTTTCTGGTGCCAAATGTCTTCTTTTGAGGGTGCTTCTGCTGTATGTTTGCAGCTATCTTTGCTCTTCTCATCCATGTGAGTGTTGACAAGCGCCGCTCCAGGAGCGGCAGTCCCCATGTTAGCCCTGCCTGCTGCTGGGTATCTCTGCAGAAGGCAGCCAGGGAGATACTAAGCCGCCTTCAACTGCAGCCCCCTCAGTGTCCATAGGTTAGAAACACAGACGTTTGGAATCATAGCGCAGGCATCAAGTCAGTCCAGAGTGGTGCTTACTGCCGGGCATTGAACTATTTAATTCTTTTCTCTTTTGTATAGCTTTAAGTTCTTTTGAAAGTGTTATACAAATGTTGCTCCTCATCCTTTTTCCATATCTTATTTTTGAACAAGCAGATCACAGCTCAAGTCTGTCTACCCTTTCTCCTAAATTATTGACCGTGACTTTACATAGTAAATTGCACTGGCTACAAATGTTTGCTTGAACGTAATTCATGACAGAGTTTAAAGAGACAGAGCTTACATATCATTTTCTCAGTCAGTAAACAACTGATGTTAATTTTGGCATTTCTGAGCTTCCGAGTGCTTAGTTTTGATAAGATGGTGTTCTTTTCAAGACTTACAGTCCATTTAAATAATTTTCTTATTTTAAAAAAGGCAGCAAAACTTGCCCTGAGAATGAAATTACATCCTGCAAAATCCTACTGACCCTCCCTTTCTCTGGAAGACTCCCACTAGTGAGTCTTGCAAGCATTGGAAACTAGGTGAACAGCATCCTCCACTGTCACATCTGCTAAGTGGCACTAACCATTGCAGAGGGGTGATACGCACCTTTGCCATTTCCCATGCAGCAAGGAGAGCGCGGCTGGGGTGAAGGACGGGATGGCAGATGCACCATTGGGTTGGTGGGGAGAGTTAGGAAGAAATAGAACATACTCTGTGGAAGTCTGCACTCTGCTATCTTTAGGTCAACCAAGGAATCATCAAATTTCGGTATTTTTTTAATATACACAGCAAAAAGGAAATACTAGAGATGTTGTTGTTTTGATTCTAGAGCTTCTTAATGAAAAGCTTGGGGAAAAAATAAGTTAAGCATGAGCGGAATTTTTTTTAACCTTGTTCTAATGAATAGTATCAAGGAATAAAAAATTCCAGCCTTGAGCAGATGCTTGGAGTGGAAATTGTACTGAAGATTAAGTTTAGCAAAAGTATAAATGGCTGAGAACAGGCTCGTACAGTAGAATTTTATGCAACTTGTCAACAAGCTGCGGGTCCTAGATTTAGTCATTTAGAAGTAGCTTTGGAGGCATGCTTTCCCTTTCCTGGAGTTATGGTTCTTCTTATTCTTTCTGTTTTCATGGTGCTGTTTTGTCCTCATAAACACTCCTAAACTGTTTGTATCGCCTCATCTGTAACCATTTCTTAGGCTTATTTAATTTTGTTAAAAGAATTCTCTGCCTTCCAAGAAGACAGAGAAGATAAGCAGCCAAATATAGGTAACACATAACATAAGTTAATTTTATTGATGCTTGGAGAATTGTCCTGTAAACCTCAGTCAAAATGGTTGTGGTTTTAGTTAAAACTGGTAAGGCTGGATCATTGCCTTATTTAATGGCTCTTCTAGAGCACAGTTTTCTCCTGCTTTCTCTATATTGTAAGGTCATTAATGAATCATTAGCTATTACTAGTAATTACTGATCTCTTGAGAGTATTGGTTTAATTATATAGGAATCATAAGTGGAAGATACAGTTACATATTCTACAATGTAGGTAGTAGTACCTTGGTGTATTATGGCTTTAAAGAATCTGTATTTTTTTTGTAGATTTTAATTGCTAAGTAAGCCTGGTAAAATATGAATTATTGTATTACTGCATGTGATAAAAGGTATACTATTGTGAGCCTCGCAGTCTGCAGGTGTAACAGATGTAAGGCAAGATTAACAGGACAGAACAATAATTAAACCACAGACAGCCATCTCAAAAAAAAAAAAAAAAAAAGGTTTATCATGTCCAATGCAATTATTAAGTGTGTCTTAAATTCTCTGCAAATATTTGTAAAAGCAATAAAAATGTGTTAGTTTGAAAGACAGCTTTTCAGCATGGACATTTACTTTAAGGAATTAAGATCCCTTTTTATGAATATAAAAGCAGAGCAAAGTCCTGCCATATGGCAGTATGGTTCATAGGCAATAGGGTCCTTCGTTTATAGATGCTATGAGCTAAATGCTGCCGAAGAAAATAAGAGAGCAGTTAGCGTATATGCATTTACAACAGTATGAATTGCTTACTCCTTTTAAGACAGGAAGGTTCAAATAATTAACAGTAATACTATGGTTGCAAAAGGAAGTCCAGTTGTTCTTCAGCAGTCTACATCTGTGAAACATGATACCTCTGGGGACGGAGATTTAATTTTCCCAGGAGAAAATATAAAAGCAGGAGAAAAAAAGGAATGACTCCTGCTTGAGCAGAATAAACCTGCATCTACAAACGATTAACACTGCATAATGAAGTAGTAAAGAAGCAAAAGAGATTTCTAATAAAAGACTAATAACAAATCCCATTACACCATGGTGTATTTTTTCCCTTGAAGTGTATTAGACTTTTAGCAAGGCTTCTGAATGAGATTTGGGTAGTTGCAAGCAAAGTCAGCTCATATGCTTGAAGCTTAGCTGAAATTTCTTGCCTAACAGTTTGTATAACTTGAAAGTTGCGGTTTTACAGGTGGGAGGGGTTGTTAATGCAAGTAATAGGCTTCCCGCAGAGTTTGGGTAATGTTTGTGTCACCATGGGATAATAGTCTCCTGTAGGCTAGGCACTGTAGGGTAATGTGCCACTGTAGGGTAAAATCCCTTAGACAGAGCAGACGTGGTACTAAATGCACTCGCTAAGCCTTGCTTTTGTGTTAAACTTCTTCTGACTTCTCCTTCTGAGGCCTGAAAATAAGTCCTCGTAGGAAAGGGGTTTAATCAGAGAGGAAAATACATAGAGTTTGTATTTCATCATAGCTAATATTGCAACTTTTATAATTCCTACACTAACATAAAAAGTTACAAGACCATAGAATGTAAATGTTTGGTATAAGGATAAAATGATGCTATTTTTTGAAATCACATATTTTCACTTTTAAAAGGAAATATGTCTTGCAAGGGAAAAAATTCTGTGTAGCGATCTCTAAATCTGTAACATGGATGTTTTTGCAAATTATACATACGGTTCCAGTGGCAGGGGGAATAAAAGTTCATGTGAACAAAACCTTGACTCACAAAACAGTCCTTTTGAATTTCTTTCATAGGAGAGAGTCTTTTTGTACAGATTGTTGCTATCTTAAAAGCTTGTGCTCAACTGACATGTTGGAATTCATTTGTCTAGAAATGAACTGTTATTACTGGAATCAGGAAAAAAAAAACAGATGCCTTAAACCAACAATGAGTTCTGGGACAAAAGTGGTTAAACAGGAATTCTTACGAGTGAAACTAATCTTCATGAAATTTCTAGTTGCCTTTTGAGAAATTTTTGTGAGTTTTAAAGAATGACTTAATTTGCTTAGCAGAAATTTGCAATCAATCTTTTCTTGCCACTGAATAAACAGATTCCACATGCGTAGTAATTTGCATATCCCAGCTAAAAATGTAATTCATTATTTTTAAGTCCATTTCGTAATAACTATTTCAGGATTAATGTTACTAACTGTTGTTTAGCTCTTTCAAATGTAACCTTGGATAGTCCTACCTAAAAAGGTACAAAGCTAGCGGGTCTGTTCCGGAATAGGAAGGGGCCTTTCCTGAGGTCAGCAAGTAAGTCAGTGTAAGAGCCAGAACTGGAAATAGGAAATCTTGAGAAATAATTTTCTTCTACTGCATTTCAAGCTTCCAGTCTCAAGCAATATTGCATTTAATGAGACAGATTTTCACATTTTGCTAGGTATGAAAACAGCACAGATATGAACAGGAATTAATGGTATAGTCTACAGGCAGATTATCACTAAATCTGGTAAAGATTTAAATTAAGTTTAGTCAAAATAGCATCCATAGCATATTTTATATGGAGCTGAAAACACTGTTGCCAATAACAGGGAGGAAACCACTTCAAAGTAAGTGTGACCCGGTCCATTTTAACTGCTGTTTGGCATCTGCCTCTGAGCTGGCTTTCACCTGACTGGGCTTTTCAGGGCTTCTCATAAACCACTGGCTTCACCCTCCTCTTTTTGCTGTTGGAGGCTATTCTTGTGTAACATTTTCTCCCTTTCATCTTAGATCGTTATCACATTAAATGCTCAAAAATATGGTATATAGGATTGATATGTTTTGTCCTCTGAGGTTCACCCACATAATAATATTAGTCAGTTAAGCTTCTACAGTCTGTAATGTATCACTTTTTTAATGTAGATGCAGTAACATTTCCAAAAATACAGTTAGTTAAGTGATTATCACAGACCTTCACACTTTGCAAAATTTTCTGGTAAAATGTTTTGGATTGTAGTTGATCCTGGGGTATGTATCCTGACTTTACCGTACTTGGCAAAACGGAGAAATACAAATCACATCTTTTCCTGTTTTTTTCAGGCGATGGGTAAGGCTCCTGTTTGGACGTGAATTCCCACTTCAGGACCTTCTGGTTGTCTGGGATGCTCTATTTGCTGACAGTATCACCCTGAATTTAGTTGACTACATTTTTGTAGCCATGTTGTTATATATTAGAGATGCCTGTAAGTATCAACTGTCTTATGATCTTTTAAAAAGAATGTGAACCTATTTTTCAAAGAAAAAGAGGACTTAAGAAATGCTAAATTTCATTGTGGCTTTTTTAACATACTGACAATCGTTTCAAATGCTAGGAGAGGAGCCATTTGTTATCGGATGTGGTCTGCTGTATTTATGAAACAAATTGTATCTTGGAGTTAAATGCAGGTTTGTTTTCTGAGTACTTCTGTGTTTTTATATGTAGTTGCAGATTTTATGTGCAGTAAGTGATACAGGTATGTATAGAGCTCCACCTTCTGACCAAGCTGATGAATTGAGTAAAGCCTCCCTTTGACACTGGAAATATTTTTATGCTCTTCTTCTGTGAGAAATGTGAAAATGCACAAGACAATGACTCATAATTTTTTAAGATATATCTTGAAGGAAATGTAAATGCAGAGATGAGTAACAATTACAAAATAGGTTTATTCTATGCAAGAGTGGCATCTTTAAAAAACTGATCATTTCATTTATTTTATTTTATTTTAGTATGCCTGAAGTATGTGCAAAAGTGAATTCTTATGGGTTAATGATGACCAATAAATACATTAATTTGGGACAAACAAGAAATCACAAAAATGTTTTTAGCTTATATAATTGTGAATGGGAGGAGGAAGGTATGTAATGATTAGTTGAGGCATTTATTTCTGTCTCATCATATTTTGCAAAAAATTCTATGTACAACTTTGCTGCAACAAAGTATGCGTTTTGCGGTAAGATGCATGTCTGTCATTAAATATATGAATTCTGTAGCATGCTGTTGAGAGTTAATTCTATACAAGCTATAAGCTTTAGCTTATAACAAGGTCACGTATTTGACACAATTTTGTATTCTAGGACACATGAAGTTTTCAACATCTGTGGTTCCTATTTTAGGGTCTAGTCTTGAAAATATAACGTGCATGTGCTTTACACGTACTGTCGTTCCACTGCCTGCCTTCATGTGTTTTTTTAATTACTTTTTAATAAACATGCAGCATATAGAGCTACCTTACATTCCTCTCAAAGAAGTGGACGTTTAATTCAGTTTAGACATTTCAAAATTAATGCTGCTGTTTCAGTATGATCTGATTCCAGGTCATTATGTTCTGCAATCTAAGTCTGGCTTGTTTATGTGCAATAAACTGAAATAATCTTGAAATTTTTGGTATAGATATGTAGTGCAGATGCACATAAAAATGTTTCTTAACATCGGTATTTTATTTTGTGTCACTGTTTCCCTTTAAAAAAAAATACTTTAGAACTGTATTAGTAAGTACCCTCTCTCTCCTGCGGTAGGGAACGTTGTTCTGGGTTTGTTTTCTTTTGCTTTGTGATGCTTATGTACAAGTATCAGTATGAGGTAACTAAAAATGTGAGCTAAAAACGTATTCTAGGCATCTGTATGAAATCAGTCCCCTCTTTTCTCTGAAATCCCCAGGCTTAGTAAATAAAGTGGTAAATAGCTTTAGAGTAGAGTACATTTGCCCAAATGAGATGCAAAGTCATCTCTTCAGGACAGCTAATACTTCATACATATACTGTTTCTGTAATAAGTGACTTTTTGTCCTGTAGTTGGACCTAATTCGTTACTCTAAGCATATTAGAATGGTGAAACAAAATACCTGATCATAAATACTCTAAAGTTGAATATATTTTCAAAGTCAAGTTCAAACTGTAGTGATTTCCCCAGTTCTTGATTTGATAAAAGAAAGATTGTCTTATATATCTGTAATAGAAAAGTTTTCCATCTTTCCTCATTTTTTTATTTAAAAACATTTTCAAATAAATTAAGTTTCTAAAAGCTTCTCTTTATTTGGTGACATGAAATGTTAGCTCAAAACACCCGATGATGTTAATCACCTATAAATAAACCGTCTGGAAATTTTCAGTTTAAAAACTTTGAAACAACAGGAATAGTAATAGAGCTCCTAAGATATTATGTTATAAAAACGCCAAACATAAGCAATGATAATAATACAATACTGAAAGCATTTGAAAGTTTAAATATCATGCAGATTCTTTTATACGAAAACATTTGGGGATGGGGGAGAAGTTGCTGATTTGGGAATTGATGGATTTTTTTCTGTGTTTTATTGTGATGTTCTCAAAAACATGATTTTATGAAAGTATTACTTCTGCTATATTTTTCATTTTATTTTTATTTTAGTTTTTAAATCCTCTGTTACTCAAATGAGATATTATTCAAGGAGAAGGGAGCATTTAGATCATTAGATTATTGTTTATACATTTTAGAGATTGCAGATATATAATCATGTACACAGCCATTCTGTAAACTGCTCTGTTCAGTTTTACATCTGTATCCAAGCAGAGCTTTATCCGTGGAGTGATAATCCTCACAAGCCAAGTATAAGGTTGCGTACGAAAGTATCTGTGAGTTTGGAAAAATTCATGTAAAATAACCTTTTTTAAAAATCTGTCACATCAGAAGCATGAATATGTTACTTTTTTTCACCAATATGGATGTATATGCAGTTGTTGATGAAATCAGAATGGAGGGGAGGGTGCAGTGCAAAAATGTATGTTTTATATACTTCCCTTCAAGAAGGACAAAAATGAACAAACCTGGAAGACCTGTCTATATTTTACATAGTAAACTAACATCATTATTGCACCAGGAATTAATTTTGACTGATCAGTGTTAGAATAAGTATATTTTTATCATGTTCCCACTTGAAGACTAGCTATGGCCATTGCTAGGATATATATTTTCTTATCTAAAAGCGCTCTGAATATTTTGAGGGAAATAAAGGAGCCACAGCCTCTTCTTAGAGGAGCTGATTTCTTATTTTGTTATAGTGCAAGATGTTCATATTATCTATGTTTAACTCAATTTAGGGCCTACTAAAGAGAACGTAGCCATGCGTAAAGCAGCAGGGGGAAGTAGTTCCACCCTTCCTGGTTTAGGAAGTCATCTGGATACATCAGGTTTGGTGGCATCAAACATTCAACTCTTAAGGAATTACATGTGGCAGAAAATTGGGACTTGATTGAGGAGAGGTACAGTTAGTTTACGTGTTAGTTCACTATTATTGCTGCTTACGTCCAGGAATGGTTATTGGACCAACAGAAAAAAGTCAGTCTCATCTAAAGCAGAAGGGAGAAAGCAATTTGATGTTCCTCTGAGCACTGCATAACGAATATTTATCAAAAGTCAGTAAGATTCCTTTCTCTATGTAGAAGAGTTTCTCTAGTCCTTTCCCTAGAAATACCAATAGCATTCTTCTTTGGAGAAGTGAGAACTTGTTGTTCACAATAAAAGTTGGATCCAGATGTGACTCATGCCAAGCCAATTGGTGAAGAAAAAGCACAGGTACAGAAGCACCAAGATTATTATAAGGCAGCTGGCCACAGTGTAAGATATTTCACCATTGAACTTCAGCACCATCCAGCTACTGCTGAGACTGGATAAATTTGTATTGCACAGAATCTTCTTCCAGAAACTTTATCCTACAGCTGTTTCTTGGAAATCCTTTTAACTCTGATATGCATATTCAGAGAAGGGGTGTTTATTTTGTTTTACTGCTATTTTCTGGGTCATTTTTAAGAAAACCGCCACTCTGTTGGGTAATATTATACATTTTGTCCTGAAGAGACAATCATAGAATGGTTTGGGTTGGAAGGGGCTTTCAGGGATCATCTAGTCCAATCCCCTGCCATGGGCAGGGACATCTTTCACTAGATCAAGTGGCTCAAAGCCCCATCGAGCCTGATTATTCAATTGCTTCATTATTATACATTGCAAAAAATTAATAATTAGAGTAAATGTCTCATGGTTGAAAATATAATTTTTTGTCAGGAGTCAAGTCTGCACCATTAAAATAAATTAGCTTTTTTAATATTTACTTTTCTCTGTATCTGTGAGACAGCAAAGAACTCTTCCAGGAAAAATAAAGAAAGGATAATTTTAATCCATTTTGCATTGCAGAACAGAACACACACTGATCTGTTCAAAAGAGAAATGCATTGGTCTTACTGCCTATCGTTTATAAAAGTATTTAGAATTTACTATACATTTTCAGTATTTTTATTTGCTTTGGTAAAAAGGCATCATGATCATAACTGCAGTACAGTATCTTCAATTTGATTTACGTATGAGAGTTTGATTGGGTATATACTATGTGGTGCTCGTATTCTACTTCTCTGAAAGAACTCTGACAGAGACCATTGTATTGTGTTCATTATGCCAGCTTTGTGACTTCAAGAAGAAAAAACAGGTACCTGAATATGAACAAGAAAAACAAAGGGTAGGAAAAAGAACAGGCAGAACAGATAAAGAATGAGTAGGATAAGTGAGTGCTTTACAAATGAAAGCAGATGTATGAAATTACAAGCTGTCGGATCAGCAACGGAAATGAAGATGATAAAGTGGTTCCCTACACAGATTATAATTATTCATCTTGCCCAGTCCTGCATCTTTTCCCCATAATCCTCTTGTTGAGGGAGGAAAGGTACAGGAGGATATGAGGCTTATTCACATGAAAGAAAAAAAGTCAAACATTTAAATCTTTCTGTCCACAAAACAGTTCTTTATTTTGCCTTTTATTGATTCAAAATAATTTTGTATTTGCAGTGATCCTTCCTGGCGTAGAGGCCTGATTAATTAAAAGTATTTGTTACTACAGCTAAAGTTCTCAGAATAGTAAAGTTTGTTAAAAATTTATTTACAGTTACTATTGTTGGAGGCTGTCTTTATGTTGCAGAGTGCAAGCATCATTAACAGGCATTGCTTTGACAGCTGTGGCAGATGGATTGCCTGGATTTAGATGGTGTAAAAGAAATGAAGTAGTTTACATAGACCTGCCTGAAAAGATGTCTTTAATAATTGCACTCATAATTAGATTGATTTTGGGGGAAAAAAAAAAAAAAAAAAAAAAACAGAAGATGAAAACAACAAGCAAAGAACCATAGAGTATATTTACACAGATTCGGATAAAATCAAGCACAATTATAACAAAATTAAAAACTTCAGCAAAGCATGCTGAAAATTTCCTGAATAAGTAAAAAATTCTAATAAAGTTAATGGTATATTATATTTTTAAGTATTTATGAAATTAAAATCTAGCCTTTTCCCTTTTTCCTGAACATTTCATGAATAGTTTCTGATTTATGAGAAAACAGGGAGTTGTTGACATCATTTTATGTATATGTATACATACATAAGAACCAACATAAAAGATATTTCAGCAAAGAATTGTCAGAGTGGGGGAAAGTTATCATAAAAGCAGGATTGAAGGTAAAATTTCTCTCACAAATTATCATACTTAAATTTAGGTTTCTGCAGATGAGTGTCTGAAAAGTCAGTGTCCATTTCAGAGTGTGGAACTAGTTCTTCAAGCTCCACTGACTGTGTTGCCCTGACCTCCACTGACTCAGGCAAGCTTTAGGTGCACAGCTACAGAGATCTAAATTTAGGCATCTAAATCTGGTACTAACATAAATGTCTGTGAAATAAAGTCAGTGGTAGGTTTAGCATTGTCCTTAACGATACTGGGCCAAGCGTAGTCATGAAGCTTGATTATGCAATATCATCTTTGAGCACTGCTTGAGTTCTAGGAGACTTAATGTGGCAAAAGACAGCTGAATCTGAACTGTAATGAATCTACTGGAAAAGGTACTGTTTTGGAATATCAAAATCAGAGTAATATTTCACTTGGGTTTTTTCTCCTTTTTTTTTCCTTTTTTCATTTTCATTGCAGTGATTTCAAGTAATTATCAGACCTGTTTGGGACTTCTGATGCATTATCCACCTATTGGAGATGTTCACGCCCTTATCCTCAGAGCACTTTTTCTCCGAGATCCAAAGGTGAGATGCTCGCTTTGTAAATACAGGGAATAAAACTCTGTAATAAAATGTTCTAAATACTATGAAGTTAATAACAACCTACATTTTGGGGACTAAACTGCAGTTTCGAGTTTCTTCTTACCTGACAAAAATGCTGAAGGAAGGAGTTGGTAACCACAGGTAGAAGCAAGTCCCTTTACTCTTTGAAGGATACTATCCTACTACTTCGCTAAAGTTCTTCAGGAGCTCTGCTAACTGCAGATGTTTATGCTCTTTGCCTGGTTTATACCTTTGCCTGGTATTCTGCACAGACATCTTTTACAATAAAGTATACTTTTGATGGAAATATTTTATATAATAACCTAGTAAGCTGTATAGAAACTGTCATGCTATTTCATCTGTAAGACTTTTTTGATGGGATTTCTGTAGATTAATCACTGTTAATCCTTAAAGCACTACCCCCTCCCAATATATAATAGTTATGTGATGGTTTTCAGTTAAAAATGAGTCTGCTGTTACAGCCTGAAAAGATTCACATGAATAAAATGTATAAATTCATAAATTTTATGTTACATATTACTAGCATGCAGTTTCTGATATACTCATCTATACTAAAAAAAAAGCAAACCTCTTGCTGTTCTAGAATTGCATGTGTATATGTGTGGATATAATATACAGCAGATATCCACAGTATAGTGGATAAAGTGTTTGAGATTAAGCTGTACACAGTAATCTTTGCAGTGCTCCGATCTTTGGCAGATAGCAGAACTTGTGCTGCTGGTTTTGAACTGTCTTTGTGCATGTCCCATTAGTAGGCTGCCACTGTAAAGTCTGATTTCCCTCATCTTGATGCACGTCACCTTTGAAAGTGAAAAAATCATCACTTCTGCACTCTGACTACCTTCTGCAAAATTTCATTCAGTACCAATGTTTACACTTTTATGGATTAAGAAAAAAATTGTCTCTTTGTTTCTATATCAGTTTTTTGCAGAAATCTGCATCTTTACAGCTGCTTTCTTCATTCCTCTCGGGCACAGAGATTTCTTTCATGACGAGAAGTAAAATATACCGTCTTTTCAGCGTGTAAGAAAGTTTGTAACGTTAGATCTCAGAAATTTTTCTTAAGATTTCAGCAGCTGTCTGTGAAATCAGACTGCCCAGCATTTATTTATGTACTCTCTTAGCAAAACAAGATAGAAGAATTTCTTAGAGGGAAGATACAGAGGGAGGGAAATTGTGCTAAGATAGTGAACTAAATCCAATATGTAATCTGTCATTTATTGAAGGTGTGTGTTAAAAGACAGAATCATTACTAATTATTCAGCTGTCCTCTGAAGCATCCTAGGCAGTATACAAGGTATCCTACCAGCTGAAGGGGGCTAAAATAAGCGACCAAGTTCACATGAAAGAAGCTTGATCACTATTCTGCTCCTTACGCTCTTGTCTCCAACAGAATGAAGTTGTCAGGCTCATAAGGCCTCAGTGTCCTATTAATTAACATTCTCAGGTGCGCCTTGAACACCTTTCAGAAAAATGTTTTATGTAATTCCTACCATGTCTTTCAGGTAGTTCTCCCTTCACTCAGGTGAATGAGTACTTAAAGCTCTTTCATGCAACAACTGCTAGTTGTTTTGTCAGTTTAAATATGATTAATTACAATTGTTCCTAATTTTTGAGCTGTATTTACCTGATTGGGAAATACTCTGAAGGTTAGGAAGCTAGGATTTCCAGAGAACGAAGAGCCCTAAAGGACTTCCAGCCACCTCTCATTTTACGTTGGGTCTTTGGGTTGAGACTGCATAAACAGATCTGGACTTCTTACAGTAAGGAAGTTAAACTGTTCTAAAGGATCACTCTAAAAGAAAACTCGTGGTCTGAGAAAGAAATGTATTTTCAATGCTTGAAATAATAGCTTGAGTACCTGTATCTTCTCTTACCCTAGATGGATTTTAAGTTTCACTTATGTGTCTTTAAGCATATGTTGGTTTAGTCCAAAGTATTTCTGAAATGGAAGTCTTGTTATTCTGTAAGACCTACACATAAAAATTTTCCAAGTCTGTCAAAATTTTTCATTACACAGAATGAAACGGAAGACTCAACAAGACATCATGGGTGCTGTAGGAGTCTAAAGTCAGTACACAGATTATATACCAATATAAGTGGAAAAATTATGATACCTTTTTTTGCTGTCTGCATAAAGATAATTCAGTTTGCCTTTATTCCCTAAGCAGATAAAAGGAGATTGGAAGAAAAGACAAGGAGATTTTAGTCAGTAGTGTAACTTGTAAGTGATGATTAGCAAATTCAGTGCTTAATGATTTTTCTTCCTCCTTTGATGTTTTCCTGTGCATTTCTCCATCACCAGCTTCTAGTTTCTAATGGGAAATTACATTTGGTTCAGTGCAATTTAGATCTCCTGAGCCAGGGCTGAGTTGTTCTGTGTGGCATTTCTTCCAAGATTTCGCTTGGGTTTTAATATGTGAAGTGGAAACTCATCTGTGGGAGACTGTGACGTGGTCCAGTGGCTTATTTCATTATTTGTTGAACGTAGCAAGAATGTTTAGTGTTGTTCCAAATATCCAAGAGAAGCTTGCTCTCTGCCCCTTGGAGCTTTAAATCTCAGCTGGACGAGAAATGCAGTTTAGAAGTCATGGACAGGGACAAACAGGAATCTGCCTCTTGCAGGTTTGTTAATACATATTGTCTTTGGAGTTATTTTTGCAGCTAGGTAAATGCCAAATAATCTCACTGAGGGGAAGTTGTGGGGTATTTGGACTAAGAAAGGTTGGTGGTATGTACATAAAACTGAAAGGTTCTTGAGGAACAATCCTGTCATAAATGGTGAAGTAGTTAAGATGGACCTGATACGACCTTTCCATCCATAACTTCCGATTCTGCAGATGATCTGGGTTTGCACGTCTAATAACATTCATTATTTCTTCTGTTTCCTTGGTCTGACATAACAGGTATCTCCTCCTTACTTATTTGTCTTGTAGACTATTAGGAGAGCTAAACTTTGGCTTGATGTACCTGTTGCGTTTTGTTTGCTTCTTTTCACTGCAGTCATTGCCAGGAGAGTAACCTAAATGTCAAAAGAAAGCTATACTTAAAAGATGGGTGGCATTTTTTTCTTACCTATGGACAAATACAACTTCCTGACCTTTTGTGGAATCAAACCTTAGCAGAAGCCTTAGCATTATCCAGTAATAACAATAATATGAAAAGTAATTAGTGCTTGCCATTAATCTAATGCGTGCAGCAGCTCTCCTTTTCACTTCGTGAACCCCAGTTCGCAGTTGGGATGAGAGGACGCTTTAGATACCACATCCTTTATATATTCCAGTGCCACAGAAGAGAAATACACATCTCCATAATAGCTGAAAACAAGTTAATGCACCTGTCTCTGAAGGGGGGCCTGAGAGATAATAATTTTACTGGCATGAGTATGGATCAATGCAGAATAATTGAATTTCAGCCTTTTCTGCATTTGGCTAGCTCCAGTTCTTGGGAAAACGTAGAATGAAAAGCTCAAATCAGTGTTGTTGTCTTTGCATAGAGTGATAAAGGTAACCTGCTTAGCAGAGTATTTGTTTCACATTTCTAATCTTTGAACAGATAATTACCTCAATTATTTATATGAAAGTAACTTCTATGCTCTTATAGTCCTTCTGAATATAAAAGTAGAGCTGCTTATGGAAGAATGGGCTATTAAAAGTATGTATATGTGAAATGAGAAAATAAGGGGAAGATTTTTTGTGTATATCCAAAAGCATTTACTGAAGGTGTGTCTCTGTGTATTTAATGTCCCACGAGTGGCCAATTTTCTTCATTTTTTTCCTTATCAAAACCATTGAGCACTGTTAATTTTCAAAGCAAAGACTGCAAAATTAAGAAGTAGAGATATGGAGATAGGGCAGTGGAAAAATATAAAGTGATTAAAAAACATAGTTCTAACTAGAGTTGTTCAAATAAAAAAAAAAATTAAAAAACCCAATTAGAAACAAAAGTCATAGAAAATGCGAACATATTGTGTTCCTTAAATAACCAGATGTTCTTTCCTTCCTGAAGGCAGCCAGGGCTAGGAATAAAAGGTTTAAAACTATTGTTTTAAGTTAACTGTGAATTTTGCAAATCTGTTTTCACCCTTTAGCAAATAAAATTCTAATACAGCAACATAAGCAAAGTAATTTTCATCTTTGGGTGTTCTTATTTGTATGTTGTTCTGTGTTGAAGTGTTAACCTTATCACAATGACTTATTAGAAAACTAAAGCGCTACATAGAATATTACGGTTTTATATTGCGTACTAAGAACCTGACAACCATCCTTTGTCTGAGAGCTTACTGTATTTATTCTTAATATTCCTGTAAAACAAGTTTGCTCTCAGATATTTTAATGTGGTGAGTTACCCTATTCGTTGAGCAAGCTAGTTAGGAGCTTAATTCAGTGGAGACACCTTTCATCATAAGCCATCGATTCAAAAAAAAAGTGATTGTGCGTGGTTGATGGGAATTAATTTGTAAGTTATGCTAATAATATTCTAGTTACTGCTGCTGCTATTTTCTCAACATTGTATTTTGAGCTATTTGCTGACATTGAAAGTGGCCGTATAATAATATTAAATTCTAACTAAATCCATGATGAAGCATACATGACATTTCAAAGAAGTCATATTGGTTTGTCATGACTGAAATTACAGGTACTGCCAGAAAACTTAAGCAATAATATATGGTCATGATCACTCATATAACAATTAGTCAGAGAAATCTCCATTCCAGCTTTTAACACTTTTCACAATCTGAGCAATAAGTGACAAGGGGAAAACACATTACTGAAATTTTGAACTGAACTCTTTGTACATTTATTTTCAGCTGAATTTTCTTCTTAAGTAGCTGCCACCGTCTCAGAGTTTCTCCAAGCTAGTTTCATGTGCCTGAAAGGCTGTTGAGTTTCACTTTCTTCTTCTTCAGATAAATTCTTTTCTATACACTCATTAACTGAGGTGCCGCTGCAGAGCTGCAA